ATCATATTATTTAATATAAAAGAAATCTAATAAGATCCATTTTGACTATTTTTTATTGTTTAGAATTTTTATTGATATTTTATATTACAAGTCATTTATAGTCATTTTATATAATCTCTAATATTAAAAAGTACTTCTAATAATTTTTGTGCCAAACACTCAACTACTTTTTTTTTTAAATACTTCTTTAAAAACTCCCGTCAAAAACAACTAGTTCAAAGTCCAAACTAACTAACATTTTGGCTTTTCCACAGTGCCAGGTTGCTGCTTCTCCTGCTAGCCTGGTACTTATGAATCGAGCTGCCCAGAGTCGTACGTACAAAAAGAGATGAGAGAGGGAGAGGGCCTCACCGGCCGCACGCTTTGTTGGTCGCCTTTGTGCCTCCGAACTGGCGGACCCTCTGGCCCTCCGGAGAGGAAGAAAAAGAAAAGCTTTGTCGGGAGGAAATTTTTATAAAAGGGTAAATTACCCCGATCACGGTTGATAATGATGGCAGTTGCCGGCCAGTATTGGGGCACAACCGTTGCGAGCTTAGCTAGCTAACTAGTGCAGTGCTCCATTTCCTTGCTTTCCCCCTTCTTGTTAATTAATGTGACATAAAGAAAAGCCCTAATCAATATGCAGAGCATACAATTAATGTGGAATACCGGTCCCTTTGATTAGTTATGTGACTAGTACTTTAGGAGTGGTTTAATTTAATTAGTGGCTAAGCCACGATGGTGGGTGGCAGGTAGGGCTGGGCATGCGGGCGGATCATCCGCGGGTTTGGGCCGATCCACCCGCATTTGACCCGAATTTCGTTAAGTGGGTGGGTCTGTGGGTGGGTGACAGGTTGCGTTGGGAGCCATCCGCCGGGTGGTGGGTGGGTTGTGGGTGAGTGTGCGGGTGACCCGCTCAACCCAACAGCAAAAAGATCAAAGTCGTTGGCTCTAGAGAGAGGAGAGTGGAGACGTTAGATATAAACTCGGACTGCTCCTGGAGTTTGAACCTCAAAGCCAACCTTCCAAATAGAGATCCCCTCTTCTTCCATTTACTTTTTCCTCTAATTCTTGTGCCTAGATCACTGCTCTTTCCTTTGTGGAATTATTTTCTTTAGTTCCTTGCACCTAATAATTGTCTCAATCTGTAGAAAACTCTTTCATAATAGAATTTCTATCCAATTTAAGAACTAATTCGACATTTTTCGCGCTATTTCAACTTCTTGTTTCCCTCGATGATTCTCTTCACCTATTATCATGTCAAGTTGACTCCTTTATATATTATACACATTGTGATGTGGGTGAACCCACAAACCCACCCGCATCATCCACCATCCGCCCGACCCAACCCGAGACTAAATGTGGGTGGGTGGTGGGTTAAAAATTATCAATCCGTTTAAGCGCGGGTGGGTGCATTTTATGGTCAAAATCCACCCGACCCACCCAATGCCCACCCCTAGTGGCAGGGGAGATCGGTAAAATGAGTAAATTACATTTAAATTTGTAAATGAATTTGGAGAAAAAAGAGTTTATAATGGTTTAGACCATTCACGTCAATACAATTGCAAAATCAATTACGTGTATTGTCCATATAATCACGTCAACAGTTTATACAATCTAATTCGTATTAGTTTCCATTGCACCTATCTATGGAGGCTCGCTTACAATTGTATATGTGCTTAAATTATGAAAAATAAAGAATAAAGAATAATTTCATTGCAGAAGCCCATAATTTCTCATGTTTTCGGTCGCTTTGGCTTTCGTATGCAATTGCATTTATTGAAAGATTGCAAATATGCGACCACATCGAAAGGCCACTATGGATGCTCTTATCTCCTCTCTAATTACCGAAGGTTAAATTCCTTCAACCTAGAGTTTCTAGCTCCTAGTGTGTAGATTTTTGTGTTCAGGTTTATGGCACCGCCACTGCTGGTGGTTCTTTGCTTGGAGCTTTTGGATAAACTCAAAAGATTTTTTTAGAATATAGTGCATTTATGAAATTAAATTCAATCCGTAGCGCTTAATTTTCGTAGTAAAATGAGACAAGAAAAACAATACAAAGTGAGAACCGTGCATTTCCATAGTCATTTAGGTTTCCTTCAATTCGAAAAAAGTTCTCTCCCTAGGAATTTTTCACTGCCTTCTCACTTGCATTTTTGAATCTCAGCCTTCCATGGGGGCTGCTACCGGCGCTCCTCCGTCGACCGACGGCAACCCTCTGCCTCCCTTTTTCCTTACTTTTTCCTGCGTTTTTTTGCATGTTTTCCCTCTGCTCTTCTTCTGCGTCTCCAACCATGGATGGCTCTCTTTTCGCTCCTGTGTGGGTTCCTCTCTTCGCTGCCCATTGTGAGAGCTGCTTTTGCCCCTCTGATTTGGTTCGCTAGATATGGAGATGATGGATCTAATACAAGGTTGTCAAACCGGGTTAAGCCATTGAGTTGGTCAAGCAAGGGGTTTGAGGTTTAATGGTCTGATCGGGGTCCAGTCGGTTTAGACGTTTTCTAAATATATATAGAAATAAGGTAGTAATTAAAAATTTAATAACTGAAATGAATTTTATCTTACATGTATCTATTAAAAACTTATTTTCCACAAAATAAATCTACCTAACCTCCATGACCCACCCACCATCTACCTTCCTTTGTTCCTCTTCCTCTCTTACCCCTGTCTTCTTCTCCCTCTTTAGGGGTCACACCGATGGGCTTTCTGGAGGCCGTTTTGAAGCCGACTTAGGTCGGACCGAGTCCAACCGAGGGTCTGATAGAGGGGTTTAACAACCTTGATCTAATATGACAAAGGAGACTGTTCGGTTTTAATCGTCCAGATTGTCTTCCCCTCCCCTTCTTCTGCTCTACCTCCTTGTTGTTTCACCCCGCAGGTCACGGTGATTCGGAGATGCTTGAGCCCTTGGCTTGGACCTGGACGGGAGAGCTTGAAGACTGAAGATCATCTTTCTGGTTCCCTCCACTGATCGCCCTTTCTTTCTTATGCATGCTCTGTGTGGTGTGGGTGTGCTGACGCCTGACGACGTTTGGTCCGGGGAGGTGAATTTGGACGATTCTTTTCCGCTACCCTTCTTCCGGGTAGGGTTGGGAACAAGCTCCCATGCTTGGAGGCCGGTGGCGATGGCGACTGCCCGTTTTGCGTCCGGCGGCGGAGGTGTTTCTCGTCTAGCGGCTATGAAGGTTTCCAGAAAGGCAACTTGCGGCTAGGGTTTAGATTCTCAGACTGAGTTGTGGCCCACGATTTTGGACCCTATTGGGTCCCGACCATGTTGTTTTGCGCCTTGAGTTTTTGAATCTGTTTTCCTTTGTACGCGCTTGTTGTTGTATCTTTCTCCGTTTGGGCCTGTCCCATTTGTCATATTAATGAATTGACTTGTCAAAAAAAACCAAAAAAAAAAAAGAGAAGGTTTCCTTCTATTCCTAATGTTGTATTTTGAGAATATATATGTATCCTACAAAATACAACATTTTTTAAAGCACATAATGCATGTATTGATAATGCATTTTGTCTTCCTTACACATATAACATTATGTATACTGAATTTCACTTTATGGAGAGATTTGGTATCTTATACTTCATTTAGTGTAACAATCCATACTCTATTTTTTTTATGTTTTCCAACAATAAATTATCAAACCGAACATTCTTAACATACATATAATCTTAATATTTATTTTTCAAATACCATCATTTTTTTTATGAAAGATTCCAAACCACCCTTGGTGTGATAGTGAGGATACGTACACTTATATAGTTAACAAATTACGACGAATTGCATTTGCAATGGTCATTTCTAGGCCTAACATGTCCGTACGAATATTCTCGACAAACAATACTGGAGGGGAAGTGGAGAACCAGCTTTAGGTTGATATGTCGAGTTGCACGCTATGATCAAAAGTGGAGTATTGTCCCCTCCCACTTCAGAGATTCCAGAAAACGATTGTGTCTCTCTCCCTTCTGTTTCTTCTTTGTTTTGGTTTCTTTATTGATCTCTCAGAATGGGAGAAATCGAATCAAAATTCACTGTGTATATAATGAAGACTTTGTATAACCAAAGAGACACAACCCGGGGGAAAAAATAAACAAACGAAATACTCATAAGATACGATTGTTGCTAAGATAAATCATTTGGTCAAATTCGAAGTGATTAGTGAAAAGATCTCAATCAACCAGCTGACAAAAATCAAACGAATCAAAATCTTGTTGAAATTCATTGTTAAATGTGCATTTTTATCATTTGATATCGTATCTTGATAGAATGTTCGACTCTTGATGATGAGTTGTTGTTTTCCAAGACCCGATCAACATAAATGTTGTTTTAAATTAACATGCTCCGCCGATCACATCTATCGATATTTACTTATTTTTCCATATCAATTGTTGCAGCCTGGCGGTATTCGTCTGGGTTGAGATCAATTTTCGTCAATTCCGTCATCCAAGCCACTCAAAAAGTCGTATGTTTCTCTTGATTACTTAGACTAGGTACCAAACTACACCTTGCAGAATTTCCAAATAAATTATTTTTGTTGACAACAAATTAATTGTATATATGTATATATATATTTCATTTCAGATACAAAAGAATGGTATATATAAATTATTCCAACCAATAAGATAAATTTTCATATACACCTCTCGAATGGTCACACTTCTTTGTTTAATGGGATCTCCATTCTAATTCCTTCTTTTTTACCTTTGCCCCTCTTCTTTTACCAAAAAGAATTATTACCCACAATCGTCATGCTAAAATCCGAATCTGTCATCATCGATAGAGTTATTATTAGCCGACCGAAATCGTAAAAAAAATGTTCATTTTCTCTCCATTTGTTTAGGTTTCCGCTCATATAATACACTCCTTCACTATTAGTTTGGAGTGACAAAAAATAAATCTGATTAAGATGTCAAACAAAACAAAGTAAACTTATGGTCTATGGAGACTTCTTATATATATTTTGAAACCCAAAAATAGGGGGAAAAAAGGTAGCAACGGTTTTAGACTTTTAGTCCTTTGCCCAAACGGGAGACTGCTATTTAAACCACCAGGTCACTCTCACAGCAACTTCCCATATATACTGCTTTCCCTTTTCTCCCCCTTCCATTCGCCGCTCTCCCTCTCCTTCCCTTTCTTCCTTCGCCTCTCGATCTTCAAGATTACAGCTTTTCTTCACATCTTTAGCGACGGCCGTCAGGGAGCTAAGGCGACGACGAGGGTTCGTTCCGTTTTTCCAGAGATTCTCAATTTTAATTACCTCTCACCAGGTAAGTAAGTTAAATTAGTTTATTTAGTCATTAATCTTGTATCAATACTTATCTAGCTCAATCAATGGTGGCGGTGGTAATTTCGAAGTTTTACGGTACAGGCTTAAACCTCCTGAAGTTTTTTTCTTTCTCTGTTGGATAAATATGGTATTTATTTATTAGGACGTGATAAATATGAATTGAATACGTGATTGTAGGAGAATAAATTTTGTTACTTGTTTTGGTTCGCTGGTGAATCCTGAACATAAACGACGTTTAGTATTTTTCCTTTTTTTTTCCCAACTACGTATGAGGATACATAGAAAATAGAAGATATATTACCTTTTTTTCTATCAAAATTCAGGCATGTTATTATAATAATAATTTATTTACTTTCATATATTTATATCCCAAAGCCTCATGATGATGAGTTCACAGCTGGGTGGGAGGAATTTTTTTTTTTTTTTGATGGAGGGTGGGAGGAATTAAAAGGGTGGAATTGAAATGGGCAATCATGATTTTTCTTTTATATATCCCATTGTTTATCTATACTTTTGCTTTGTTTTCTCTTTTATATAAATATGAAGATCCCTATACCCAAATAATATAATTATTAGTGTATAATTCTTGTACACTGAATTTTAAGGTGATCGGTTTGAATTATAGGAATTTTTAGTCTTTTTTTCCCTTCTTTTATTATGTTATTAAATCATTTTTTTTTCTCTCTCGACTGTTGGCAACAGGGTCTGGTTTGGTTGGGTATGACTACAGATACCAAATATTAATGACAACATTCCATGTGCAATTGCAAACAAGTACAAACGTGAATTAGCTAGCTCTTTTATCAATTAAGATCACAAAAAATGGCGATAGTTGGTGTGGAGAATTCAAATACGTGGATGGGAGCAGGGGAACTATTGTCATCTGAACATGCTTCGGTCGTGTCGATCAACTTATTCGTGGTGTTGCTGTGCACTTGCATCATAATCGGTCATCTACTGGAAGAGAATCGATGGTTGAACGAATCCATCACCGCTCTCCTTATAGTTAAGCATTAATCTCTCAATTATTTACTCTAAATCCTCCTCAATTAGTCATTATAATTATTATCATTATTATCATTATCGCTTCTGATGGTGCTAACTGTTAGGGATTTCAACGCCATTTCATTAATCACATGCAGGGAATTTGCACGGGAGTGGTGATTCTCTTGCTGTCAAGAGGAAAAAGTTCGCGTATTTTGGTGTTCAGTGAAGAACTATTCTTCATTTATCTTCTCCCGCCAATTATTTTCAATGCTGGGTGAGTGTTTATATGTTAATACTCTACAACTTTTCAACGTACGATATATTATGCTCAATTTGACTGCTACTGCCATTGATGTTTGTGATTAATCAATGTAAGATGTACTTTTCCACTAGTTTTCAGGTGAAAAAGAAGCGATTTTTCAGGAACTTCTCGACGATTACACTTTTTGGTGCAATTGGTACTCTAATATCTACAGGTGTCATATCTGCAGGTATATATGTACTTAATTTACAGCTTAATGTGAAATTTAACTGTGCCCGAGCTAGCCGTTTGTTAGCAATTTGTGTTAGGGTTATGCTACTTTGACTATGCCTGATGAGTAACTGTGTTGATTTGATAAGGAGCTATGTACTTCTTCAAGAATAAGGACATTGGTTATCTGAGCATAGCAGACTATCTTGGTAAGTCGAGTTAACACTACTTGTTAGTCGTTGCCTTAATTTGTATTTGTATATGTGATTGCTCTTCATTTTTAACATATCTCTCACCACAAACTTGTAGCCATTGGAGCCATATTTTCTGCTACAGACTCCGTGTGTACATTACAGGTACGAACCTTTTGAATAAAACTTAGAGAATAGCACGAGTATAATTTGCTATGCATGGTTTCTTGAATGATATCAATCGTTGTTCATGTTGGCCACGACCTATGTAAAGATGACAATATATGTGTTGGATCCTATCGAGGACATACTGGTTAGCATTTTTATATTTATCATCGTAGGTGCTTAATCAAGACGAGACACCGTTGTTATATAGCTTAGTGTTTGGGGAGGGTGTAGTGAATGACGCCACATCAGTTGTACTCTTCAACGCGATCCAAAGCCTCGACTTCTCTCACATCAGCTCGATCGCTTCTCTCGAATTCGCGGGCAGCTTTCTCTACTTGCTCATCTCAAGCACCATATTAGGAGTTCTGGTTAGTAATCAATTGCTTCATCTCTCCTTATAGGGTTGGGATTTCTCCATGTTTGTCCTAGCTAGCTAATCGTTATAATGCATGTTATGGCCAACGATCCATGACCTTTAGACTTTGTTCTCCTCTACAATTTACAGGTTGGACTACTAAGTGCATATACCATTAAGACCCTCTATTTTGGAAGGTATGTGAATAGTTCTCATCCCAAAATGCAAGTCAAATGAGTTGCCCTCGTTCGAGTTAAAGCAGGCTAGGTTATAAACATGTCATTGATCGTGCGTACGATATGCTTAGAAAATAATACAAATATGATACACGAGTTTGTATTAAATGCATTGATTTGACGATCGATGATATATAATTAATTAGGTAAGGGTCAAGGCGAATCTGAATCACATCAAATAATTAGTCGTGACTCGTGACATTATATAAATTAAACAAAATCTTATAAATAGATATTGACTTATTAACTCTTGTTTTTTTCTTTTTTCCGCTTTGGTCCGAAATAACACAGGCATTCGACGGACCGTGAAGTTGCAATAATGATTCTCATGGCTTATCTTTCTTATATGCTGGCCGAGGTAAGATTTCCCACTATAATTTGTTACCCTAATTGCAACAATCCAAGAATTATGTATTCATCACTAGCCATTTTTACAGATATACTAATGATTTGTTACTATGTGCTAATTAACCTTGATGCAGCTATTCTCCTTGAGTGCCATTCTCACTGTGTTCTTCTGTGGGATTGTGATGTCACATTACACATGGCACAATGTGACCCAAAGCTCAAGGGTGACAACCAAGTATGTTGATCACAATTAAACACTACATCTTAACTCAAAATCCTCGAAACCCATTATTTTCGTATTTAATTTAAATTTTTTCCCGTATTTGGTTAGGCATGCTTTTGCGACGTTGTCATTTGTTGCTGAGATCTTCATCTTCCTCTATGTTGGCATGGATGCTCTTGATATTGAGAAGTGGAAGTTCGTGAGCCATAGGTAATTAAGTCTTAGCTAATATTATTATTGACAATAAAATTATTTTGAACTAATTTTAAAAATTATCACACAGACATTAATCGACTCGTAAATTCTTTGTTTTTTCACAGCCCAGGAACATCAATTTCTACAAGTTCAATTCTGTTGGGACTGGTTATGGTTGGGAGAGCAGCTTTTGTCTTCCCTTTGTCCTTCTTATCAAACCTGACCAAGAACTTCTCATCCGACAAACTAACCATCAAACAACAAGTACGCTACTTGTTTGATTTTATGAGTAAAAATCTGTTCCAAGAGTTAAGAGTTAGTTAGTTAACATGTTCTCTGTTTATCATATTAATTCGACGTGCAGGTAACGATTTGGTGGGCAGGGCTAATGCGCGGCGCGGTCTCAATGGCTCTGGCTTATAATCACGTAAACAATCTAACGATTATGATCATATGATCTAACCCTCACAAAGTTGTCTTCACAGACGAAGTAATTGATTGGCTTTGCTTTCTCGCCATTCAATTTTACTCTTAACGATTGTCTCGTAGTTTCCACCAACATAGATAAGATTAACCATAACACGGTCTTATTTGTTGATGTTCGGAGTATCAGAGAACCGATGTTAAATCGCTATGATATCCGGTTTGAATTGGAGAGCATGTTTCGAGCTGTTTTTGAAACCGGTTATCTGATACCCTGACAACCTGTCTAATACTATTATGCTAACTAAATGATAATTATGTACCAATCCATGGTTTTGATGATATTCTGGCAACTTCAATTGACTTTCATCATGTGCATTTTTTTTCTTTGGCAGTTCACGCGTTCAGGATATACTCAACTACGCCCTAATGCAATCATGATCACAAGCACCATCACCGTTGTCCTCTTCAGCACAGTGGTAAGAGCCATACATTCCAAACGAGGTTTCCGTGTTATCATGACAAGAACCACCGCATTTCGAGAACCATCTGATTGAAAGTTAACATGCTCGGTTGGTAACCTAATTCGTTTCGTTTATGTCATATTTTCTTGGATTTCTAGGTATTTGGGATGCTAACTAAGCCGTTGATCAAATTTTTGCTACCACCCACAAAACAAATGCTAGCTAGCGACAGCATGGTGTGTTCCGAGCCATCCAGTCCGAAATCTTTGGCCATCCCACTTCTACTAGACGGAGGAAACTCGGACGATGAAGAGAGTTCGAACTCGTTGCCTAGGCCAACGAGTTTGAGAATGTTTCTGAGAACGCCTTCGTACTCGATCCATTACCATTGGAGGAGGTTCGACGATGGGTTCATGCGACCTGTTTTTGGAGGTCGGGGCTTTGTGCCTTTTGTCCCTGGCTCCCCTGTCGAGTCCGATGATCTTCAACAACAATGGCTAAACTAAGCTTATTATATAAGAATGGGGCCAGTTATTTTTTTCAGGCTGGGCTTGACTACACACTAATGTATTTACCAAAGAGAGAGAAAGAGGAAAAGGTTATAGCGAAAAGAGTGAGGTTTGTGGCATTGCTATGTTGGGTAAGTGAGTATTGTGTGACAAATTTTGTTGGTAACCAAGGGAGTGGGACATTGGTGTTTTTTTGGGAGTGATTAGTACATGCGTGATGCTTGCGTGAGCTTTGTTAACTATTGATTAGTACATGTATGAGGCTGAATTTGTGGTAAATTCTTGTTTAAAACTACTCTTTTTTTATCAAATGGATGCAACATACATTCTACCTTACATTCAAAATCGCTCGGGATTCGGAAATTCTCTAACAATCATACATAGTTCAGTTACACAAAATAGGATCGGATAGCGGAAAAATATTAGAACGTAAAAGCATAAAATGGCCTCTAGTAGCTAGGTAGTATGCACACTCCCACTATCAAAGAAGCAACTCAAAAGCTCTATCCAGAATGGCTGCATAATGATGGTTGCTAGAAATAGAATCCTCACTCCGAAGTAGCTGACAAGCACATTCGAAGTCCAATTCCAGCCTAACATGGCGGTAACCAGCATTCCAAGCTAACTGCAGTCTTCTACAACGCCTTTCAACTCCACCTGGGTAATAGAGCAAATCCTAGGTTCATTGCGAATGCCAAGAGGCACCGACCTAAATGATCTAGAAGCGGGCCACCTGCTGCGGCGTGACCTAGTATTGGTGTAAACAAAGCCATCAGTACTATTGAGGGTGACACACTCTGGAGGTAGTGGCTTCCAAGAGATATCCACCTCCGTTTTTATGGGCGGATTAGGATGATGAATGAACCCATCCATGTCCAAGGCGTGTCTCGTGAGTCGTGACATTTAACCAGGCTTGGATGCGATGTTGAAAGGCTTCAATTGTAGTGATCTTGCCTACAAAGACTCGACAATTTCTGGTCTTCCAAAGAGACCAACATGTAAGGCCAAAAAAATTGAATTATGAGTGACAATAATAATTGCTAGGGTCGGTTCAAAATAAAATTTGACTAAATGGATTATAAGACTCTTTTTATTATCAAACAATAATTATGACTTAATTATACATGACTCGCGAATTTCATGTGCTATCTTTTTCTCAAATGACAACTTATTTTGTGTCTCTCTAAAAACATGTTATCATCATCATCTATTCCTATTAACATTTGCATGATTTCAATGCACATAAGACAATATCCTAATCCATATTGGAATCAATAATTTGGTTGGACTATGTTGTGGTATTGGAGAAAACCAACATCTTGAAAATTGTTTTCTTTATTACAACAAGTGGTTGAATTTTTCTCTTATTCTCAGGTATTGCCATGAGAACTAAACTGCTTATTCAAATTTTGCTATCACCTAGTATGGTGTGTTCTAAGTCACCCAGTCCAAAATCTCCATCCTTCTTGATTCTATTGATTGGAGAAAACTTGGATGATCAAGAGACTCCAAACTTGTTGATTAGGCAAACGAGTTAGCAATTGTTTTTGAGAACTTTGATATTTTTGATTCATGTTGTAATTGTGTTATATGGTTTTAAGGCATTAAATTATGAGTCACGATAATAATTGTAGGATCAGTTCAAAATAAAATTTGATTGAAGGGATTATAATACTCTTTTTATTATCGAACAATAATAATTATTTAGCTATGCATACATGACTCACGAATTTGATATGTTGCCTCAAGTGACAAATTTTTTTGTCTCTATCTCTAAAAAAGGCAAGTTATCTATCATGATCTATTTTCTATTAACATTTGCATGATTTCTGGGGGTGTTCAAACGGTGTGGTTACTATGGTAACCGTTTTAACCAGTATTATTTGGATAATTTGGTTTGGTTAATTTGGATAATTGGTTTGGTTAAAGTTTTTAGCTTGTTTGGTTTAGGTGGTTTGGTTTGGTTTTAGACACTCCTAACCAGTCAAACCAAATTAACCAGATAAATAATTAGTCATATATCTAATATATACATATACTTAATACTTTGAATAACCACTCAAGAGTTAAACGTTCATCCCTTTTAGACTCATAAAATATAAAGCTTGATATTGTTCCTATAATGTATATTTGTATATGTAGAGTGTAGACCACAACATATGAACGCCTAATTAGATAAATCTCATACATTATGTTGGATGAAAACTTGAAAGCAAGGTCCTTTTCAGCCTATGAAAATTGCTAAAAGACTAAGTCAATTCAAACAAACACAACAATTCATTAACCCATACTATTGTGATAAATTTTTGCTAGGTGAATACTTCTATACTAACCGTAAGATAATTGTCTTAGTTGCATGTATTTATGTTAAAGGTCAACTATAACCAAGTGTTGATTGCTATGTTTTATTCATTATATAAATTGTGAATTGATAAATTAACCGAAAATTTTCTCACTTAATGATAATGTGATTTTATATTGGTTAATCTGGTTAATCAATTAACCAAACCGATTAAACTTTAGTTTGGTTAATTTGGTTGTTGTATTAGTTTGGACGGTTTGGTTATGATATTGTATTCCATGGTTAATGAAATTTAGCCTTATTTGATTTGGTAATAACCATGATAACCATTTGAACACCCCTAATGATTTCAATGCATAGAAACAATATCCTTAATCAATATTGTGATTAATAATTTGGTTGGACTAGACTGTGGTATTGGAGAAATCCAACATCTTGAAAATCGTCTTCTCTATTACAATGAGTGGTTGAAAATAGTTGACACAATATTGAGTTCGGGTGTTTATGAATGGTTGGTGGTCCATTCTTCACTTGTCCCAAGTAGTTGTGAATAGGAATAGCAAAATATTCCATCATGGGTACCTAATCCAAATAAATTTTGTTGGGAAAAATTCAATCTATAATAATTTTGGATGGGTTTCCCCGAATCCAACTATTAGAGTAGTGAGTTTGGTGCGATTTTGGTATTTTAAGTATTTGTACCGAGTTTATCTGAATATGTATCATAATTTGTTCTAGACTCAACCACCTCGACATTTTTTTATCCATATCCCTGTAATATTATAATTATAGACCTCAAATCATGTTCATTTTCTCACAATTTTACAAACAATGTGACAAAGAAATTTCATTTTACATTGACATTCGAAGAATATTTTTGGATTATATAAAAAAACCTTTACACATGATTGTTCGAGGATGGTGCGGATGAGTTTTCCCCGAACCGCATACTAGTTGGTTTTGGTATGATATATGACATTCCCGCAAAGTTTTGGTTACGGGGATGGTTATATTTCTAAAACCATGATTCGGGGATGATATATATAAAAACTGGCCCCGCTCGAATCCCTCGCCATCCCAATTTGTGATGCTAAAGTACAACATGTAGGATCAAACAGGTTTGGATTCTAATGTCGAAGGAAGAAATGACGATTTCTCAGTCTATGATCAAAACAACGATGCAACATATGAGATCATAGAAAAAATGACGTATTTAGTTCGTCAATTACGTGCATATCCGAAATGTACAAATGAGATTGACTCCTCCAACTCTTTGCGTTAGTGTTGAAACTGATACATTAACATCTACTACATTAGTGTCGAGCCAGCTCCAACTTCTATGCTTAAATAAGTAAATAAGTTTCCATGTTTCTCTACATGGTGAAAAGGTCCTATGAAACTAGTATAAACTATGAAGGAAAGGGAAAGTATAAAGTAGTACCTAAGTATCCAATGAGAGAGAATAAACTTTAAAACTTAAAAGCACCATCACTGCGCACAGGGCTTCAATACGCTTCCATTCTTCCTTTAATTGTGTTTTGTTCTTCTATGCCCTTACTTATATTTGATGAATAATGTTTGTTCAAAACAATTAACATCTAAGCGGGGATAGCTCAGTTGGGAGAGCGTCAGACTGAAGATCTGAAGGTCGCGTGTTCGATCCACGCTCACCGCATTTTTTTTTCTTTTATATGATATATTTTGCAGTCCAGTTTCGCAAAAAGCCCAGTCCACAATTTGGGATGGAGAGAAGTTTGGGTCCGACGAAATTAGTGTTGTTTCCTCAGGCCTGTAAAGCCCACTACAATTATAATCACTATGTCGGAATAATGGGCCGGCAAAATTAGTGTTGTTTCCTCGTAGAATTGAATTTGAACAGAAGGTTTTTTATTAAAACTTTTTGGATTTGGTTGATTACAGAATGGGGAAATTTCGTTGTTTGTTTGTTCATAGATTGTGTTGTTATGGTTTTATAGTTATTATATTGGGTCGTTTGGATGTGGAAATGTAATGCAGTAATTGGATCCAATTACCACATAATGCAGTAATTGGGTTAAAAACCCACGATTGGGAGAGCAAAAAGGGTATAGGAATTGGACCATGGAAATTGGCTTCAATTACCACATTCATCGTAATTGAGAATACTACACCTTCCCCTAGTAATTTGACATTACCACGTTTTCTCACTTCTTTTTCCAAATTCCACACCATCAATTCCCACAAAACTAAACCCTATCCAAACGTGAATTTTTTTCAATTTTCACAAGTCAATTTCTTGGTTTTGTAAAACATGGAAATTCAGACAAATTCCAACGTTTTCAAATTTCCACATCCAAACGACCCCAAAATATAAATTGTCATAATACTCAACTTAAAGAATTTGTACTTCCAAGGTAAAACAAAGATCATCTTAAATTTAGAGTATGATCCAAATCTCAACTCTATAAATGAGATTTACAAGTCCGTTAGGCCCATTAATTTGGATTCTCAAAGTCTCCAGACTCATAAATTTGATCCAAACTAATTGCAAGCAAACAACGAATTTCTCCTAAATCCGTGATAGATTGAATTTGAAACTCAAATTTATCACCTAAATTCATGAAGCAAACGATCTTCAAACTTAGTCTTCCACTATATAAAGGTAGAGTTTATTCTAAAATTTTACATTTTGATTTTGCAGCAACAAGAGTGATTTGTGGAAAGGTATATAAGTATCGTTGAATTTCAAAGAAGGCAAAACATTCACTTACGGGTCATTTGATTTTTGCAGTATATTGGTTGAGATTATTACATTGTTTATATTGTTCTCAATTCCTCGATCTTTTGAATTTTACACACAAATAGTACATGCATTATTTATTTGATGTTACAGAAAATATCGCTTAAAATAATATTGTTAAATCTCACCTTTTAAGTGAGACTGTCAATGAATATGTTGTTTGGTTTTCTTAACTCCACTTGATTTATGACCTACTATAGAGGGTTTGTGACTTTGTGTAAACTCCGATTGTAAATTGGTGATGTTATGTACGTT